ACTTGCTTTCTGCGGAAATTATTTTCTTTGATCACTAATTGGGCGTCTCTGAATTTCATGAGATGATTGGTGGAATTTCGGTGTTGTACCGAAATTCTACCAATCATCTAGGAACGATAACTTGAACAACGCCTGTGTACAACACCGAAATTCCACCAATCATCTCATGAAATTCAGAGACGCCAAATTAGTGATCAAAGAAACTAATTTCGCAGACGCAAGTGCCTCGAATCAGCACTGATCGCTGTTTCGAATACAATTAAACAAAACAACGGCAGCTTCACCATCTCCGAAGTCTTAGCAAGAATCCTCCTGAAAACAGTAAACCCTGCCATCACATAGTCTCTCCTGTTATACTACACAAAGCACAGAAAAGTTGAACACTGAAACAAGCTGCCTCTTTCCAGTCTATATTTGTCCAACCTATTTTTTTTGTTACCCAAGTAATAGCTTTTTTTTATCCTTTTACTCATGTACGAATTAATTGCTCTACCATATTGTATTACTTTTGTCACTACCACTACTACTACTACCACTAGTGAACATCGAAATGGTACCTCACTAGTATTCACCTCACTCTGATCCTATATATACCCTCTGTGTCCATGTATTGTTTGTAATGGCTTGATAAAGCTCCTGGAGAGCGAAACGTTGCCACAATAAATGTCACATTAGTTGCACTTGTGTCCTTTTACTTTACATATTGTCGGTAATTCTACCAACTTTATTACAATTACACACATGTAGATCTATATACAAAAGACCAGGTAATGAGTCCCTACAGTCTTCCCATTATATCCTTGAATTTGTACTGATAAAATCACTGGATTTGTAAACGTCTACAATAAAGATACCCAGATGTCGCACATGTGTCTAATTCTTCATCTCTGCCAGAACACAGCAGAAATGTTGATAAGATACATGTGCAACAGTTAGGAATCTTTATTCCGAAACGTTTCCCTTACACAGTAGACAGGGTTTCAGGGGTCAACGCCCCCACGGCCCGGTCTGAGACCAGGCCTCGTGGTGGATAAGGGGCTGATCAACCAGGCTGTTACTGCTGGCCGCACGCAAACCGACGTACGAACCACAGCCCGGCTGATCCGGCACTGACTTTAGGTGCATGTCCAGTGCCTTCCTGAAGACAGTCGGGGGTCTATTGGTAATCCCCCTTATGTATGCTGGGAGGCAGTTGAACAGTCTTGGAACCCTGACACTTATTTTGTCTCTCAGTGTACTCGTGTCGCCCCTGCTTTTCATTACATGGAGTGTATTCCGGGGATCAACGCCCCCGCAGCCTGGTCCACGACCAGGCCTCCCAGTGGGTCAGGGCCTGATCAACCAGGCTGTTACTGCTGACCATACGCAGTCCAACATACGAACCACAGCCCGGCTGATCCGGCACTGACTTTAGGTATCTGTCCAGCTCCCTCTTGACAACCAAGAGTCTATTGGTAATGCCCCTTATGGCTATTGGGAGGCTGTTGAACAGTCTTGGGCCCCAGACACTTATTGTGTTTTCTCTCAGTGTACAAATTGCGCCCCTACTTTTCACTGGGGGAATGTTACATCGCCTGCCAAGTCATTTGTTTTCGTAGGGAGTGATTTCTGTTTGCTGATTAGGGACCAGTCCCTCCAGAATCTTCCAGGTGTAGATTATATCTCTCTCGCTTGCGCTCCAGTGAGTACAAATCAAGTGCTTCCATCCGTTCCCAGTGTTCGATAGAACTTATACGTGCAGTAAAGGTTCTCTGTACACTCTCTAGATCTTCAATTTCACCTGGTTTGAACGGGGATGTTAATGTACAGCAGTATTCCAGCCTAGAGAGAATAACTGATTTAAAAATTATCATCAATAGCTTGGCATCTCTTGTCTTGAATGTTCTCGTTATCCATCCTATCAGTTTCCTCGCAGATTTGATAGTGGCATTACCACTCCCAGGTCCTTCACATTACTTTTCCGCTCTATTGTGTGATTTGAGTTTGTAGTATACTCAGTCCTAGCTATTATTTCCTCCAGTTTCATTGGGGAAATGTTGCATCTGCCGAGTCTTTTGCTTTCATTTTTGTATGCATGTTTGGTACTAATCTTTCTAGGATTTTCCAAGTGTATATTATCATGTATCTCTCTCGCCTGCGCTCCAGGGAATACAAATCAAGGAACTTAAGCCGTTCCCAGTAATTTAGGTGCCTTATCGTACTTGTGTGTGCTGTGAAAATTCTTTGTACACTCTCCAGGCCAGCAATTTCGCCAGCCTTGAAGGGGGCAGTTAGTGTACAGCAGTATTCCAGCCTAGAGAGAGCAAGTGATTTGAAGTGAATCATCATGGGCTTGGCGTCCCTAGTTTTGAAGGTTCTCCTTATCCATTCTATCATTTTCTAAAAAGGTAAGGTAGATACATTGTTGTGGTCTTTGAAAGGGGAACCCTCTGACATTATCACTCTCAGGTCCTTTGTATTAGTTTTTCGCTTACTGTATGGTTAGAATTTGTCGTATATCCTAACACAGTTTTAATTTCCCCAAGTTTTTTCCCTATCTGAGTAGTTGAAATTTCTCTTCATTGAACTTCATATTGTTTTGAGTGGCCCATTTGAAAATTTAGTTTATGTCCGCTTGGGGTCTTGCAGTGTCTTTAATGGAGGTCACTGTCATGGTAAATTTTGGGGGTCATCGCAAAGGATGACACGGCTTACATCTTTGTCTTTTGTCAGATGAGAAATAGAATGGGACGGAGTACTGTGCCTTGTGGAACAGAGCTTTTCACTGTAGCTGTCTCGGATTTTACTCTGTTTACTATTATTCTTGTGTTCTATTTGTTAGGAAGTTATAGATCCATCTAACAATTTTCCTGTTATTAGTTTATCACGCATTTTGTGTGCTATTACACCGTGGTCACACCTGTCAAAGGCTTTTGCAAAGTTGTGTATAATATCTATGCATTCTGTTTATTCTCTATAGCATCCGGACCTTGTCATAGTGGTCCAGTAACTGAGTTCAGGCAGGAGAGACCTTCTCTAAAACCCGTGTTGCCCTGGGTTGTGTAACTGATGGGTATCAAGGTGTTTGGTGATCTTGCTTTTGAACCCTCTCAAAGATTTTTATGATACGGTGTTAGTGTATCGGGCTGTAGTTTTTGCAATTGCTTTACTGCCACCTTTGTGGGGGGTGGGGCTATGTCCCGGTGTTTTTTAGTGAGTGTGGGACGACCCCCGTGTCCATGCTCCCTCTCCCTAGACTGCCGAAGGCACGTGACAGTAGAGATATGTAACTGGTACAAAATATGTCTTAAATATCAACGTGTCGGTATTGTATACTATTATCACATTCACAGTTAGATGTGCATAAGAGCAGCCCTACAATAATACACCCGACATCAGCACAGAAGTTACAGATATAATAAGGTATCAGAAACAAGGGTCAGAACACAGGAACTTGTCGTACAGCAGGAGACGCACAGGTAAGTAATTCAACATTTCTGTCTAGATATATTTAAGTCCACAGTAATAATCAATATGAATAAATGGTTTTAGAAAACTAACAAGTTGATAAATGAGACACTTGTGCAATATTTAGGTAATTTTATTCTGGAATCGTTGCGCCAGCCAGTGACTTCTCCAGTCCAGTGTAGAGAAACAGTGGAAAATGGGAAGGTTGAGGTAATCAGTCCCTCAGCCTGGAATCGATGTCTTCAGTCCACATCGACTCCAGGCTGAGGGACTGATTACCCCAATCTCCTCATCTTCCACTGTTTTTCTAAAATGGACTAAAAAAAAAAAACTGGCTAGTGAAACGTTTCCAGAATAAAGATACCGAAATGTTGCACAAGTGTCTCAATCATCAATAACCAGTAATATGAGACAGTGTCAGGAAGGTGACGGCTTCCCAGACTGTGGCAACACACATTACAGTTTTACTGTGAAAGCTTAGCCTTCACACATTATTTATTAATACCAACTACTGCTAAATCCTAGATATCTAGGTTAGTCACCGTGACACATCCACTTTACAGGACAAGAAAAATGGCTTCACTTAGAGAGTCTTATTCTAAACTGAATGATAACAAAAACATAAGTGGTTGCAACTTGTGTAAATATATGTATAAATGCTCAATAATAACCCACATGGAGGCAGAAACTCAGGAGATTGATTGAGCTGTATATTTCGGCCCCATTCTGGGGTCCTCTTCAGCAGATGTATAAATGTACGGGATAGAACCCACTACTTCCTTCTTTGAACTTCAGTGACCTAATATTTATGTTCTACCCATAAATGTGCAGAAAAGTGACCATGGTGGTCACCTCAGTGGTCACCTCAGTGGTAACCAAGTTTGAGTTAACAAAAGAAATTCATTTCTCATGAGTGTAAGAACCTGGAGTCACCTAGCGGCTCTCCAGTCAAGTGAGTCCCCTACACGACCACGTCACGCAAGACTCCTCGAGACGGCGTGAAGACTTCGTAAGAGTCGCTGGAGACGGAACTCACAGGTCAACGGAGGCAGGAGCTCAGAACGCTGACGGAAACAGGAGCTCAAAACGTCAACGGAAACAGGACACAGAACGTTTAAGAAGACAGGAACTCAGAACGTGGACGGAAACAGGAACTCAGAAAGTGGACGGAAACAGGAACTCAGAAAGTGGACGGAAACAGGAACTCAGAACGTGGACGGAAACAGGAACTCAGGCGTGTGTACATTACACAGACTAGCATGTACACAGAGTACCGAGCACACAAGACGTCAAGACCTAACAAATACCGCAAAAGAGGACAAAGAGCTGTACAGGAGAGTGAGAACATCACATGTGCCGCTACTCGTCACAGTTACGTACGCAAGGTAAGGAGGTGTCTTCACACACCTGTGATCATGGTGGCACACCAGAAGACAGAGTGCTCCTCAACCAGTTATGTCATCCTCTCCGACGAGCGAGAAAGAACCAATCAAAAGAGTAGTACAAGAAAGAAGTGAGCCAATGAGAACTAGGTAACACGTTGACACAAGTGATCATTGCAAACTGAAATATATTATAGTTAACATATATGAAGTGTGTATATTTATATACAAGAAAGTAATTTACATAATCTCACTTTAGTAAAATACTGATAACATATGTTTTACTCTCTCTTACTACTAAAATACTACAAACTCAAATTACACATTAGAGCGGAAAAGTAATGTGAAGGACCTGGGAGTGGTAATGTCCGAATTATTATTATAATCAAGGGGGAAGCGCTAAACCCGGAGGATTATACAGCGCCTGGGGGGGGGATGTGGAAGGCATTCAGGCTTAATTCGGAGAACTGGTGCACAGATCCAATTCCCTAAATCAAGAGCCCCTCACCAACATCAAGGAACCTTCCTTGAGGGGGGTAATGTCCGAAGACCTCACCTTCAAGGACCACAACAATGTCACTATCACATCTGCTAGGAAACTGATAGGATGGATAATGAGAACATTCAAGACAAGAGATGCCAAGCCATTGATGATCCTTTTTAAATCACTTGTTCTCTCTAGGCAGACATACTGCTGTACATTAACATCCCCGTTCAAGGCAGGTGAAATTGCGGATCTAGAGAATGTACAGAGAACCTTTACTGCACGTATAAGTTCCATAAAACACCATAACTACTGGGAACGCCTGGAAGCACTTGACTGGAGCCCAGGCGAGAGAGAGATATTATAATCTACACCTGGAAGATTTTGGAGGGACTGGTCCCTAATCTACACACAGAAATCACTCCCTACGAAAACAAAAGACTTGGCAGGCGAAGTAACATACCCCCAGTGGAAAGTAGGGGCGCCACTGGTACACTTAGAGAAAATACAATAAGTGTCCGGGGCCCAAGACTGTTCAACAGCCTTCCACCAGCCATAAGGGGAATTACCAATAGACTCCTGATTGTCTTCAAGAGGGAGCTGGACAGATACCTAAAGTCAGTGCCGGATCAGCCGGGCTGTGGTTCATACGTTGGACTACGTGCGACCAGCACTAACAGGCTGGTTGATCAGGCCCTGATCCACCGGGAGGCCTGGTCGTGGACCGGGCCGCGAGGGCGTTGATCCCGGGAATGCCCTCTAGGTAGACTCCAGGTAGACAGGGTAGACAGAGAGCATTATGCGACTGGCCAGGATTTGAACCCGAGTCGTCTAAGCAGCCTTCTGGGAAGTTAGTTAAACACTCGAGACCGTAGACTACTACGCCACCATGCTACAAGATGTTAAATGTCCAGTAAGAACACTAGATATTCTGGGAGTGGTAAACTCAGAGGCTAATTTCATTCTCCTCCCGTTTAGTTACCAGTCTGATGAACAGTAAACAAATCAATGCATCTACGGAAACAAGTGGATTTAACATCCAGTATTTTTAACTAGTGATGAATATGGAAAAGTAATCATCTAAGGAAGAACAAATTAGGGCTATAAAGGAAAACAGAAACACAGGAGATAGAGACATGACAGTGGAACACAACTAAGTACATCCTCTCACCAGGACCAAACATACAACATTACAGATTACAGTCAACACAGGAGGAACTACGAATACTCACTTGTACACCAAGAACCATGTTGATAAATTAGACACATGTGCAACTCTTGGGTATCTTTATTGAGGAAACGTTTCGCCACACAGTGGCTTCATCAGTCCATACACAGGAGAATCTTGAAGAACAGGAGGAGAATGAGGTAATCAGTCCCTCAACCTTGAGTCGATGTGGTCAGTCCATCAATCTTGAATAGACCACATCGACTCAAGGTTGAGGGACTGATTACCTCATTCTCCTCCTGTTCTTCAAGATTCTCCTTTGTATGGACTGATGAAGCCACTGTGTGGCGAAACGTTTCCTCAATAAAGATACCCAAGAGTTGCACATGTGTCTAATTTATCAACATGTCGGTTCTCTGAACCATTAATCTACAAACCAAGAACCATATTACAAGATGGTACAGTTCCTGAGGTGTTGTACCACCTTGTACAGTACCTCCTTCCATCTTTTTACTAACATTTATGGTTTTTAAAAACAAAAATAATAAAAACAGCTATATAAACCAACTCCTCACAAAGGTAAATACAATGTTTAGAGCATTTAAAGAAATATATATAAGGAAAACTGGATATAATTATAACCTTAATTTTTAAAGTGGTGGACCGGTAAGCCAGTGGAAGGTCTCAGTCAGATGACCGATGTGGGTCATCATATAACAAAGACCCGCGTCAGGAAACACTTATCCTTACCCCCGGCCGGGATTGAACCCTTCCTATGGTGTAGAAATACACCTAGTTGGATGAATCTTATTGTGGCTAGCTGGTCTAGTGGCTAACGCGACGGGCTGGAGTTTTGAAACACTTATCCTGTTTCCTGATAAATCTTACCTAACTTAACATATAAGGGTATATTCTGGATGGCGAGATGTACAATAAATATTACAATATTTACTGATATGAGAGAATAAAATGATCACCGGGTGAAAGAGGAACTCACGATGTCAAAACCATATTGTGAATAGCTAATGAGTTTATCAAACGATACGTTAGTTTTAGATATTGAAGTGTAGCATAAGAATCTAATAATTATTCTTATATATGAAGCACCATCAACAACGGCTGAGGAATTTACGGATGAGATAAGGATAGATAGTTGCCTTGGAAGATAAATGATAATAGACACAACCATAATTTTTAAAGTGGTGGACTGGTAGGCCAGTGGAAGGGTTCGGTCAGATGACCAAAAGCTCCAGTTGTGAGTCATCATATGACTAAGACCAGCGTCAGGAAACACTTGTCCTGTTTCCTGACAAAGCTAACCTAACCTGACCTGACCTGACCTGACCTGACCTGACCTGACCTGACCTGACCTGACCTGACCTGACCTGACCTGACCTGACCTGACCTGACCTGACCTGACCTGACCTAACCTAACCTGACCTGACTGACGCTGAATACCTGGACTCAATCCTACGACCCTGACCTAACACTAACCTACTGTCTTAGAAAGTCATACCTACGTGGAGGGTGTTCTGGGGATCACCGCCCCGCTGCCCGGTCGACCGACCAGGCCTCTCGATGGATCAGGGCCTGATCAACCAGGCTGTTACTGCTGACCGCACGTAGTCCAACGTACGAACCACAGCCCGGCTGCTCTGGCACCGACTTCAAGCATCTGTCCAGTTCCCTCTTGCAGACAGCCAGGGGCCTATTCGTAATTCTCCTTATGCACGGTGGGAGGCTGTTGAACAGTCTTGGGCCCCAGACACTTGTGCAAGATTAAGAAATCTCTTAAAGGTTGACGTCGAAAGCAACAGTCACATGTATTTGCAACAGAGTTATATTGTTTAGCATCATGTCAAGCACAAATAGTTTAAATAGCAGACTCATCTGAGTAACTTCTGTTAAATTAAATAATATTATCATACTGTAACCCTCAGTCTGGAAGCTTCCAGACTGAGGGACTGACCACCTCAAAGGTACGTCTTCAAGGGTGATGGACTGATTACATCGTCTTTGCATCTATACTGCTTCTGCAAACTCCTCTTTACTCGACTGAAAAAGCCTACTGTTTAGGCGAAACGTTTCGGAATAGAGATACCTAAATATTGCCATGTGTCTTACTTATCAATACGACCTCCTTGGTTGCAGCCGCTTCTGCCAGTGTGACAACACAGAGGGGGGAGCTTAGCCCCCTTACTGCTAGCCCCATGTGGGAGATTTTTCTCCACAGAAGTTATTAAACCCTTAACTGAGAAACATAGTCATAATAAGACAGTTTATAGTTTTAATTGTGTCGTCCGAGCTGCTAGTTTATTGTGTACCCGCAGCTCATCCTGGAAGCGGGAGCACAAAAAAACCAGGATTACTGAGCCACAATGGCTCTTTGTCAAACGCCACTAAACGTTGTTACATCACTGGAAAGAAATTAGTCATGTTATATTTCGCAATTGCTTCATATAGATAATGTACACAACACTAAAAAAAACACTGGTTAAACTACATCGCAGTCTTCTCCATGAAACATCGTTCATTCATCTGGTTGATGTAAAATGTATATACAACACTTAAGATTTGTGATATCTTATCATTAATATTGAAGTGGTCAGTGATATCATTATTATTGAAGTGTTTTGTGATATCATTAATAGTTAGTTTAATATCTTTACTATGCTAACTATAAATGATATCACAAAACACTTCAATATTAATATCACAAAACACTTTTGTGATATCATTAATATTGAAGTGTTTTGTGATATCTTATCACTAATACTGAAGTGTTTTGTGATATCTTATCACTAATACTGAAGTGTTTTGTGATATCTTATCATTAACATTGAAGTATTTTGTGATATCTTATCACTAATACTGAAGTGTTTTGTGATATCATGTAAGGTTTGCATGGACGTGTTTCTGGAAGGTATAAGTGAACACTCTTAAAAGATCAAATTCTCCGGTACATAACACTGTCTCTATCCATGGTGGTCTCTCAACCATCTTGTGATGGAAATGGTTTAAAAACCAAGATGAAGGACGAGACACTTAACTGACTTCTTCAGTCCAATGATCTTATATATTCTATGTACATCATTATGGTAATTCTAATATTTGCACTTACCTGGAGAGTTTACCTGGAGAGAGTTCCGGGGGTCAACGCCCCCGCGGCCCGGTCTGTGACCAGGCCTCCTTAGGTCAGTGTCCCAGGATGCGACCCACACCAGTCCACTAACACTCAGGTACCCATTTTACTGATGGGGAACATAGACAACAGGTTGAAAGAAACACGTCCAATGTTTCTACTCTGGCTGGGAATCGAACCCAGGCCCTCACCGTGTGAAGCGAGAGCGTTAACCACCAGGCCACAAGAGCCCACTTGGGATTATTCCTGCAACATTTCTCAGAGATTTACGTTTATCCTAACATTGATAATTGTGACACTTGTCAAACATTTGGAAATTAATCGAGGCAACGTTTCGCAAGTCAGTGGCTTCTTCAGTCCAAAACAGAGAAGAACGGTCGATGATGAGAATTTGGGGTGATCAGTCCCTCAGATTTGAGTCAATGTGTTCAGTCAATCAATTCTGATAAAGGTGCAGCATATTCGCTTAGAAGGAGCTTATAACATTGTTATAAAATGTTCGCGTATATGGGACAGCTGTACCTAGATAAAATATTTTCAGGACAAATAATGCG